GGAGTAAAATTTCCTACTTTTTGAAAAAATTTACTCCCTCCGTCCTATAATGATCTTCCCAGAGCATTATTCCAACTTCACGAGAATTTATATTTATTTGTGTTTTTTCATGGCCTATATGATAAAATAAAATATTCTTGTCACCACTTGTTTTGTTGAACTTTTGGTGTAGTTTTTAAATATGTATGTTTTATTTTTTATTTCTATACCAATATTTAAATAAAATAGATTGAAAAAACTTGGGATTTTTCTTCGTTTTGCGAACCGGGAAGATCATTATAGGACGGAGGGAGTATTTACAAATTGGTGTATCAATAAGATATAAAAATTACATATTAAAAAACCACGTCAAAAGTTCTACAAAAAAAGAGGTAACAAGAATATTCTATTTTATCAAATACTTAATAAAATTGCGTAAACAAACAAAAGTTGTCGAGAGGAGAGAGAAAAAAATATTGTAATCTATTTAGGGACGGAGGGAGTATATCACATGAAGTTTCCCCATGAATCTTGAAAAGTGTTCTTCCTACCATTCAAGTCAGGAGAGAAGTTTGATTTATTTTTAAATTTATTTTATATATAACTCACTCACACATTTCTCAAACTTTTTGTTTGAATTAAATTCAATCAAATTATTATTAGAATCACAAATAAACAATTCACAAAATTCATAGACTTACATTTTAACATATCACTAGAAACAATATACACTGAAATAATAAAAGATATTTAAATTTAAAATTTACAAAAGGTAATTTTGTAAAGTTTGCGAATTATATATTTGTGACTCTAGCTAGCATATTCGATTCAATCATTGGGATTTGGGAGTATAATTGTTAATTTTAGATATTTATCTAATTAAACTTGGGAGTAATACTAAGTAGGACAACGAGCGAGGAGGCAATCTAGCTAAGGTAGCTCATACTCCCTCCGTCCCTGAGTGTTTATCCACTTTTATTTTTGCACACCATCCAATGCACTTCTTTAATCCATTTTATCTTGTAATTTGTATATTAAAAAATTATAAAAATTATATATTAATAATCTATATGTTAAGACGAATCAAACAAGATCACACATGACTATTTTTAGACTTACACATTGAGAGAATTTGATGAGTCAAAGTGCTTAAATGAACAGTTCCAAAAGTCAAAAGTGGACAAACACTCAGGGACGGACCAAGTACAAGTCAAGATGAGGTTTGTTGACCTAATGTCGTCAATTAAACAACCTTAATTAATAATTAGGCTCTTAGGTTTAATTTCAAGCTGCTTTTGGATCCCTAGCCTGCCTAGCTAGCCAGTTAATTAAGTCTACCCATGCCAAAGTAATTAAATTACACCTTCTCTCCCAAAATATCTTTTACACTTTATGTAAAACAAAATTTTAAACTTTTAAAATCATTTATTTAAAGATTGATAAAAATAAAACTTACATATTTAAATTTATGTCAAAAGTTATACAAAATAAGATATGACAAAAACTATTTTATTTTATCAAATAATCAATCATAATACACAAATAAACAAAAATTTAGGTGATTTTTAAATAGTAGAGAGGGTAATACTTTATGGGGGGAGAAGTTAAATAAACTTTGTAGCACTTCCATTGCTAGTCCCAAAATGTGGAGTGATTAAAATTATTGTGTATATAAAGAGAATGAAGAGAGATAGACTACGCTTGGTAAATGTAAACGCATAAGCCTTCCCACACGATTTTTGTTTGTACCAAAAGCAAATTAAAGGAGCTGAGCGGTGTTACAATGTATACGAAATTGTCACATAGACACATATTTGTACCAAATTTCGTTTACCACTCTCATAAGAGTCATAGCGTCTGACCATTATGTTTCAATATAATCATAAAGGTGTTTCCATTGATATATATTTCTATACTAATAGTTAAATAAAATAAATAAAAAAATCTCTAAATATCACATCATTTTGCGTAATGTGATAAATATTTTAGAACAAAGAGAGTAAACATAATTAAAGTGATAAAATTTGGACTATATAAAAAGAGCAAAATATGAATTTTATTTTGAAATGGAACCCCAACACGATTATCATCCAAAAGAGCCTTCTTTCTCATCCTTTAATATAATATTTGAGAGTTGATAGTCTAGAATTTTGACACGTGGCACTCTAAGAGTTTTATTTTAATGACACATCAGTTTACACGTGTCTCCTTATTATTGTTTCTACGATCAAAGACTTTTAGAGAATCTTCGCATATCCGCATATCCAGGGGCGTAAATCTCCAAAGCTTCTTCACCCCTAATTCTTCTCCTTCTTCTCCAAAAATACAAGGATTTTTCCGTTTAATTTCATCGCCTAAGGAAAGGAACCATGATTGCGATTCAAGGATTTCAATTGAAGGAAAGTCTCTAAATTCTAAAAAACCTATCCGAAATTTTCAAAGACTCCAAAGGTAAATTTCCAAAATTCATTCGATCCTATTACAAGTTTTTGTTTAAAAACTTTGATTCATTCGATCGTATTACAAGTTTTTAATTTCGATCGTATTTCCAATTTTTAAGTTTGAATCTTTAGTTCCGAGATATTTTATACGGAGTACTTAATTTCGAATCATATTCATTCCCAATTTTTTAATTTCGAGATATTACATACCTAATTCCTAGATGCCTAAAATTTGAACAATTACAGATGACAACCA